AAGTCATGTAATTAGGTTAGATTCAAATAGCATTGCTCTTAAAAAGAAAAAAAAAAGTGATATTTAAAATAACTTATTTAAATTCCTTACAAAAAAATAAAACATAGGGACCACATAACTCAAACTAAATTCTTTATAAACCAAATTGAAGCGTTTGAATGCACTAAAAATTGTAGAGTGGAGATTGTAAATATTCAAAATTTCATGTTATGTTAACTTTTATGTCTATTCAACCGAAGGAAGGGACTTTTTATGTACTATATGTAAACTATTCAACCAAAAGTATTTAACACATCGAAAACCTTTTCTTTTTTTATTTTTATTTGGTGGGTTTTGTGAATAATGTGAATACTTTGGATCCATTGGCAATCCAACGACAACGGTACAATAGCAACATTACGTGTTCAGCTCTATAAATACCACCTCTTTTGCCTTTTAACGGTGCACCTGATCAAACATACATAAGAGTAGCTCACAATGAAGACTAATTGTTGTGAACTGCTGCTTTCATTTCTTCTGGCCTTTGCCATTATAACAAATGCTTTGCTTGGTGCAGGTTGTCTGGGCAATCTGGGCAAAACCTTCAGGAAGGTTAACAAAAACCTTCTGGAAGGTTTGTGCAGCTACAATTAAATGAAGAAACCAGTAGGCAAAACCTTCCAAAAGGTTTTCACCCAAACTACATTTTTCTTGGTTTCTTCACCCTCCAAGCCTTCCTTTAAGCTATCCCCTCATCTTCATCGACTTCTATCACTTCAATAGAAGCTTAACTTGAATCATTTACATTCTTTTTCCTACATTTACATAAAAATCCATCAAAATGAAGATTAAACGCATTTCTCCCCAATCTCATGACAAGAGCAAGTATAAAACGGCATATTAGCATCCAAAATATGTCATGTTTTTGTGCTAATCACACCCCCCAACTTGAGTTTTTCTAGTCCCTAGCAAACATTATTTCAAACCACAGCTATAAAACAAACTATGATCCATGCATACACATAATCAACATCCTAACATTTAAATTACACAAATCATATTGCAATTACATAAATAGCTTTGGGCAATGATTAAACAAAACAATTGTGGTATTTCATTGATCATTTTCAAAATTTCTTTACACTAGGTTCAAGTTCCAAAAAAAAAAAAATAGCCAAAACCTAAAGATTCTTCTACCGGCCAAGACAGGAAATCCTAGCTATGTACAACCACAATTCAAAACAAATTACAAAAAACTCCTAAATCATCATCCTCGTCAAAAGCATCCTCCTCCTCAGACTCGGACTCCTCATCCTCATCGTCGTCGTCATGGTGGACCTCAACAGTTGTGGCGGGCACTAGGGTAGTGGTCAAGGGTCTAGCAGGCTGTGGTAGAGGTCCTCCGGGGATAGGCTCACCTAGGAAAATATGCTGGAAGAGCCTCATAACCATGATAGACATCACGTGCATAGTGGACTCCAATGTGTCCATATGATGTGGCATGGTGCGGGCAGTAGTAGCTACAGGTGCAGGAGCGAGAGGTGGAGGTGCTGAAGAAGATGTACCAGCATCTGATGGTTGTGGCCTCAAAGCCATAGCTCTCTCAGCCCCAGTCCTGGCAGCCCTCTTTTGACTGCTAGACTTCCCTATGGCTCCAGTCTCTTAGGGGAGCAGTGTATCACGTACATAATGCTTCACGTTGTCAAGGTCGCACAACTTGGTGATGAGGCTTCCAATGGGGAGATTTGCCTTTGGCTTTGCAGCCTAGGCAAACTCCCTCATCTCCCACCAAATGAAATAAGCCAAATCAATGGCAACCCCAATCATGAATGCATGAATTAAAACCAACTTCTATATGTTTGGGTTCTTCTCCGAACCCCGAGGCATCAAATTGTAATGCAACACTTTATTCATAACCTCATATGCATGTTTGAGGCCCCCGACCAACGTTGTTCCCGTGAACGTGGTCGGGTCCTCATAGGTGAGGGCCACATAGTCTCTGAGAGTCCTACCCCCATCCACATTGTGTGGGTAGACTGAGGTGGTCGGGGGAGGTCTCTTGTAGCCCATCGCCATGGCTATTGTGTCAAGGGTCACTTCAAATGTTTTGCCCCTTACATTCATCCTCAACTTACTCCCATTATCACCGAAAACCACTAACTTCTGGTAAAACTCACGACGCATCCCCAAGTTAAACCCCTTGACCTCCTCAAACCACAACTTCAACCCCCGTTGTTCAATAATTTTCACCACCTCATCCCTTGGTCCAAGAAAAGTTTTATCCACATATCGCTCACAAGTTATGCCTTTCTCCTCAATCCTTTTCTTGTGAGCATCGTGTCTCGCCTTGGTTCGCCTCTCTTGGCCACTTGGGCCCTCCGCAGTCCTTTTCTATGAAGTAGAGCCCATGGGTGGAGGAGACTCTGGGCCCATCCTCTTTGTGCAGGCCATGAACATCAACAGTGCCCCCAAAGAGATAAGAGTCAACAACAATGCCAAAACACTCTCCACTAGCTCAAAACCTTCCAAAGACATCCCATTAAGTGGTGAGCAAATGCAAGTAACCGATTACTACTACATAGAATGGCCTTTGTTTCGCCCTAGAACGGTAGTCCAACTAGTCAGTGGTGGAAACGAAACATGCCCACTTGATGTGGGCCCACGTACACAATTAGTCGGTGGCATCCCAGCGAGGATTTCGCCTGTGAACTCCGACGATGGTGTGGTCCGTGAATTCACTGATCTCAACATCAAATTCGTTTGGGTACCACCATGTGCTCAGTCTGGTGTGTGGAATGTTCAGTACGATGAAGAGTCTGAAGAATATTTTGTGAGAGTTGGTGGAGTAGAGGGAAACCCTGATTGTGAAACCATAACCAATTGGTTTAAGATTGAAAAACTTGGAGATTACTACAAGCTCGTTTTCTGTCCAAGTGTCTGTAACAATCATTACTGCAACGCCATTTGTAAAGATGTTGGCCGTGATTCCGAGGGTCGCTTCGTTCTAA